TTGGTTTTTGGGGAAGTTTTTTTTTTTTTTTTTTTTTTTTTTTTTTTTTTTTTTTTGAAGGGAGAATAGATATAGAGAATAGAGAATAGAGAGGAGGATAGGTGAGAACGTTTGGGAAGATGGAGGGTTTGTTTAGTTTAGTTTTGTGGGAACGTTTGGGAAGATAGGATAGACGGGAACGTTTGGGAAGAGAGCGTGAGAGGGTGACTGAGAACGTTTATTTTAAAACGTTTGGGAAAGAGCGTGAGAGGACGATGAATGAGGAAAAACGTTTAGGAAGAAAACAAAAACAAACAAAAACGTGGAGAACGATCAATGAAAACGTTTTGGAAATAACATTTAAAGAGATTTAAAATTTAAAAAAACGTTTTGAAATTGATACTCGGAAAGAACTTCTGTCACGCGAACATTTAAAGAACTTTTAGCAAGCGTGTTTCATAAGAATGTTATTTTTGGATAAAGTTCACAGAGTATCATAATTTTTTTTTGATAATAATAATAACTATATAAGTCGTCATTCCTTTTATGACCAAGTTAGGAGAAACGGACTACATATAACAGAGAGGCTTATAACTCAATGCATAATTTTGTGTTGTTTAAGTGTAGCAGGGTGTAATGCAGACATGTGATAATTATCGATAATGATAATAATAATATGATGATAATAATAGTAATGATAATGATAATTAATATGATGATAATAATAGTAATATAATGATTATATAATGATATAGATGATAAGAATAGGAATAATGATAATGATAGTAATAATGATAATAGTAATAATAATGATAATTATGATAATGATAATAATAACAGTAATAATGATAATAATAATAATAATAATGATGATTAATAATAATAATAATAATAATAATAATAATAATAATAATAATAATAATAATAATAATAATAATAATAATAATAATAATAATAATAATAATAATGATAATAATAATTATAATAATAATAATAATATTAATAATAATAATAATAGTGCTAATAATAATAATATGATAATAGTAATGATGATTACAATAATAATAATAACAATAATGATAATAATAATAATAAGTATAATGATAATAATAATCGTAATAATAATGATAATAGTAATAATAATAATAATGGCAATAATTGTGTTAATGATAACAATGATAACAATAATGATAACAATGATAACACAGATTACAGATGTGAAATAGAGTAATAAAACAAATGATAATAATAGCAGAACAGTTAATAATTATAGTAAAGATATGAGAATACCAGTAGTAAAAGGAACGTAAAATATATATGAAAAATTCTATGCTCTTTATGATGCTACGAATATATATATAGCTGAATTCAGTATACAGTGGAATAGTGAATAATGACATTATACTTGGCCTATGATGTGATATAGTGACATGGTACAGTAAATGCTTAGGTGGTATAGTGAATGATGCTATGACATACTGAATGATGATATAGTATATCGGAGAATGATATAGTGAAAGATGATACGATATAGTGAATAGTGAATTTAATATAGATGAATATATAGTGAATGATGAATCGTTATAGTGAATGATGATACGTTATAGTGATGATACGATTAGTGATGATCTGATGTGATGATGAAAGAGAAGAAAAAAGACTTTTTCACCGTACCATAACAAAGCACCATAAATAATTTTCTAGCCTTGGTATGTGATTTAAGAGAGAGACACTTCACACGTGCATTGTCTATGGTAATGGTCGTGTAAACTAGATAAATGTAGGATATAAATAGAAATAAATTATACAGCACAGCGGGATGCAGTATTCGTATGAGGAGGCCAGCAAAGTCAAAGTCAAAACATTTTATTCCATTAATTACAATGGTTATTCTTTACATAAATACATTCATATCTAGCATAGTGCAGAAAGGTTGTTGAATGTACCAGGTGTATATGCTGGTTACAACATATCCAGAACATATTTTGATGATTTTTTTCTTTTTACGTTTGTAATTAAGTGGTATATATCTAACGTATCATACTACAGCTGGTCTATTTTTGATATATCCAAGTAGTTGATTTTTATGTTTTAAATGACTAACGATAGAAGTAAAGTATAATCAGATAGTATAACAGAGAATATATAATCGAAAGGAGAATTTGAGTATATCCCACTCTATTTCCAAAGCCACTTACTCAAAAATAAGTATATCAGTATATCATTGAGGCCTTACCATAGACATACAGCTTAACCAGTAGTATTTGAGTATATCCAAGTATACAATATATTCACATTAAAGTGTATATCAGGGGAAGAGTCACTATTGTAAGTATAAGACGTAAGTGGCTTAAAGGGCAGCAGTGAGTAAGTGAGGATGTAAGTGAGTGAGTAAGTGAAGATGTAAGTGAGTAAGTAAGTGAATGATTACGTAGGTAGGTAGGTAGGCAAGCATGTAAGTAAGTAGGTAGGCAAGTAACTGAGTAAGTTAATAAGTAGGTAGACAAGAAATAAGGAAGTAAATAAATAGGTAGACAAGTAAGTAAATAAGGAAGTAAATAAATAGGTAGACAGCAAGTAAGTAAATAAGCAAGTAAATAAATAGGTAGACAATAAGTAAAGGTAGTAATAAATAGTAAGTAGGTATAAGTAAATAAATAGGTAGACAAGTAAGTAAATAAGTAGGTAGACAAATAAGTAAGTAAATAAATAGGTTAAGTAAGTAAATAAGTAAGTAGTAAGTAATTAAGTAAATAAGTAGGTAGACAAATAATTAAGTAAATAAGTAAGTAGGTAGACAAATAATTAAGTAAATAAGTAAGTAGGTAGACAAATAATTAAGTAAATAAGTAAGTAGACAAATAATTAAATAAGTAAGTAGTAGACAAATAATTAAGTAAATAAGTAAGTAGGTAGACAAATAAGTAAGTAAGTAGACAAATAAGTAAGTAAATAAGTAAAAAATAAGTAAGCAATAGGTAGTAAGTAAGTAAATAAATAGGTAGCAAAATGTAAGTAAGTAAATAAATAGGTAGACAAATAAGTAAGTAAATAAGTAAGTAGGTTGACAAATAAGTAAGTAAATAAGTAATAGACAAATAAGTAAGTAAATAAATAAATAGTAGACAAATATGTAAGTAAATAAATAGTAGACAAATAGTAAGTAGGTTGACAAATAAGTAAGTAAATAAGTAAGTAGGTTGACAAATAAGTAAGATAAATAAGTAAGTAGGTAGACAAATAAGTAAGTAAATAAGTAGGTTGACAAATAAGTAGTAGGTTGACAAATAAGTAAGTAAATAAGTAGGTAGACAAGTAAGCAGGCTAATAAGTAAGCACCAGGCAGCAGCACCCGGAGCCCGCGAGTAACTCCCGCCTGGTTTGTGACAGGTGTGGTTTTCCAACAGACGGGCCAAATGGAGGCGCCACCAGCAGCTAAGCGTGCTCCGCCCCTACTCCTCCTCCGACGACCCTCTCCCCCACTCCCCGAGGACGACCTCGCCTTACTCCGAGGGCGTGTCGAGCCCCGACATGCGCCGCTCCCCGACCCCCCCGTCCCCGTGCCCCGCGTCAGCCCCCCTGGCGGCGCCTCCGTCGTCGTCCGGCAGCCGGCCGAGCCCCGGGGGCTGTGCCTCCCCCACCAGCCCCTCCAGCGCCTGCTCCACCACCACCACCACCACCACCTCGGCGCCGGCAGGAGGTTCCACCCCTGGCGGCCAGTCGGCGGCGCTGGGGCGGCGCTCCCCGCGGCCGGCCTCGACCTCTCCGCCGCCCCCCTCCCCTGGGGCGCACCCTCGCCTGCTCTCACCCCTTCCCCAACCTCCGCCTTCACCCGCATCGGCCGCCGCCCTCAACCTCTCCATGCCGCACCCGCTGCCCCACGCCCATCTCCGCCACAGCCCGCCCATCTCGACCTCAGCCCACCTGGGCGCCTGAGCAGCCGCCGCCGCCGCCCTTGCTGCCAGCCAGCCTGCTCTCGCTGCCCCAGTACCCAGGCTTCTCACTCGGGCGTGACCTCACTCTCACGCCCATCAACCTCTCCAGCGCCCACGCCCGTGAGATCATGGCCGCCCAGGCTCGCTGCCTGCTCAAGTCGGCCGCCCAGAGCGCCCACTATAAGGACGAGGAGGAGGAGGAGGACAGCGACATCGAGATCGACCTCGACGCGAAGGAGGACAAGGAGAAGGAAGAGGAGGAGGAGGAGGAGGAGGAGGTGGTCGAGGCGCAGGACCTGAGCGTCAAGAGGAGAAGGACGGAGAGCGAGGAGAAGGAGGAGGCCAAGGAGGAGGAGAGGAGCGCCGAGCAGACGGAGGAGGAAGAAGCCAAGCCGGAGAAGATGGAGGATGCCTGAGCGAGGACCGAGACTCGGGACAAGATAATCTCCCGTTTAAGGTAATTTATTCACTGATTCATCCCATGAAGGAGGCCGAATGCTGACTCTCTGACAAAGGAACACCCAGTGACTCATTCATCAGTGTCAGCTGCCGAAGAACCATTCGCCGAAGCGGTTTCAACCCTCGAAGCTTCACGAAGCGTTTCACTCACGGTTTCGAAGCCTCAGTCAACTCCTTTTTATCTCTTACTCGTAAACAAATGGAAATAAAATAAGAAAAATAAATGTTACTCAATACATTTTTTATAAGGAGATTCAGCGACATCAACGACTGTCACAAACCTAAGAAATACTTAATCAAAAAATGTTAAACGACAAACTCAGTTTTATGTATATATAGGTTTACTGATGACGTGCTGGTCAATTTTTTTTTTTTTTTATTTTTTATTTATTTATTCTTTTTTAATCATGAAATCCATGACTAAAAGTGCACAAAAGATTGAGCTTAAGTACTTATGAATGAAAGATAGTTGTAAAGATATCATGCACAAGTTACTGATACTTATTTGTATAAAATAGTTGTGTACAGTAGAAGTGGGTGATTTTGACCCTTATAGGAAGCTGAAGGAAAAAATAGGATTCTCCTGTTTATTTCATTTCTGTGAATAAGTAAACAACGAAAAAAAAATAGTTTTATATGTATTTAAATAATGTATATATATATATATATATATATATATATATATATGTATTATATATTATATATATATATATATATATATATATTTATATATTATATATATATATATATATATATATAATATATATATATATTATATATATATATATATGTATATATGTTATATATAATATATATATATATATATATATATATATATAATATATATATATATATATATGTATATATGTATATATATATAATATTATAATATTATTATATATATATATAATATGTATATATATATTATATATATAATATATATATATATATATATATATGTATATATATATTATATATATATATATATATATATATATATATATATTATATATAATATATATATATATATATATAATATATATATATATATATATATATATATATATATATATATATATATATATATATATATATATATATATATATATATATATTATATATATATAATATATATATATATATATATATATATATATATATATATATATATATATATATATATATATATATATAATATATATATATATATATATATATATATATATAATAACCTTCGAGAAACTCTTGTCCGTAGGCTAGACACACAGTAGTAGAGAGGCACCAAAGACGTATTTTGTATCCATCTTCTCGCGTTTTCTTTCTCTCTTTTGTTACTGTTGTACATAGTTCCTTTCTTCGTTAAAGGTAACAAACCAAAACTGAATCAAACGCATTTAATTTTAAGGTTTAATTAATGTTTCTGTTCGACGAGAAATGTCTCCTGCCACATATTGATGGCAATGATGACTTGTATTTGTAAATATGTATATATAATATATATATATATATATATATATATATATATATATATTATATATATATATGTATATAAATATATATTATATATAATAATATACTATATACATATACATGCATACATTATATATGTATATGTATATAATATGCATATACTTTGTATATATATGTATATATTGTATATTGTATATTTATATATTATATATATCAATATATGTATATATATAATATATTATATATATATATGTATATATTATATATATGTATATTATTATATTGTATAATATATGCTACTATGTATATATATTATATATATTTATATTAGATATTATATTAATATATAATAATATATAATTAATATATGATATCATACATTACCCACACATTGCATAAACATTAACATGTTACATATATATATATATAAATATATTATACTATATATATATATATATGATTTATATAATGGTAGTATATGTATGTTGTATGTAATATGTGATGTGTGTAATTATCATGTAATGTTATATGTCTGTATGTATGTTATAATTTACATTTGCATTTCTACTGTATGCATAAAAAGTTACCAAAGAGCGGCTATTACCCAAGCCAATTGTAAAGGGCATCTTCGGCTTTATTTTATTATGAATTTAAGAATTTATGTGAAAGAAGTTGAAAAGTGGCGGATTGACTGATGAGGAGAAGGTAAGTCAGGCAGGGAGAGATGAGAGCAGAAGGAACAGGAGGGAGAGCATGATGAGAGCATAAGGTAGTAGGGGATATGAGAGAGCAGAAGGAAGGAGGGAGATGAGATGAAGAAGGAAGGAAGGGAGGCCATGGAGGTGAGGAGAGGAAGGGAGGGATGGAGAGAGAGAGAACTTAGGAAAGAGGAGAGAGAGACGGAGAAGGAAGAGAGGAGCGAGACGAATAAATAACGGAAGGGAGCATGGAATGAGCGGATGAGGTTGAAAGGAAAGAAGAGAAAAGGGAGAATGGATAGCTAGGGTGATCAATAGGGCGGTGTAGCAGACAGGATGTGAGGCGTAGATGAGGAGGAGGAGAGAAAGGTAAAGAAAGATAGAGAAATAAAAGCGAAGAGAAAAAAATAGAATGAAATTAGAACAATGTTTCAAGTGACATATAAAAATACAATAGAAACAAAGAAAGCTGACCCCTCAAAAGGAAGACCCAAAGAAAGAAAGAAAAAAAGATTTAAATTAACCAGAAAAAAAAGTGAAATTAAACCCTTCTTTATTCCCTCCGCTCCAAAAGTGTCGCACGATTGCCTGCATTCTCTCACGACGTAGACGAAGTCGAAGCCAAACTCAGCATCCGAACACGCGCTCCGACGGAAATAAACAAAACAGAAAACGTACCAAAACAAACAAACTTTTAATTATATTCTTTTCTCTCCTCCCAAGAAATAAAATCATTATATATCATCGTCACTCACCTCTCATCCTAGATCTATATAAGAAATAAAGCAACGATGGGAAATTAGTGATTAAGATTAAGGATATATAAATATATTAAAAGAAAAGTGAATCTTTGCCAAGGCTTATATTTTTGCACGTGCCCCGTAGTAATGTTAATGTGTGTGTGTGCACAGTAAAGGTGTGTGGCATGAATGTGTTGAAAGTTTTTAATTTTCACCCTTATGTACATTTTTACTGCTGTGCTGTAAGTCTTGTGTTGTGTGTAAGTAGAACCGCATCGAATTCGTTAAGCCGATGAAACACAGGGTTTGTGGTTTGAGAGAGAGAAAGAGGATGGCGAGGCGAGGAAAGACAGATGAGAGAGAGGGAGGGAGGGATGGGGAGAGGGAGGGGGGAGAGAGTGAGGAGAGAGGAGAGAGGAAAGAGAGGAGAGAGGAGAGAGAGGGAGAGAGGGAAGAGAGAGGAGGGAGAGAGAGAAGAGAGAGAGAGAGAGAGAGAGAGAGAGAGAGGAAAGAGAGAGGGAGAGAGAGAGGAGAAGAGTTGAAGGAGATGAGGAGAGAGAGAGAGAGAGAAAGAGATAAGAGGAAAGAGAGAGAGAGAGAGAGAGAGAGAGAAGGAGAGAGAGATGAGGAGAGAGGAGAGAGAGAGAGAGAGAGACGAGAAGAGAGAGAGAGAGGGAGAGAGATTGAGAGGGAGTGCGAGAGGGAGAGAGAGAGGTCGACGAGAGTGAAGAGGGAGAGAAAGAGTAATGAGAAGAGGGAGAGAGGGAGGGAAAGGATAGTCGATTGAGACGAGAGAGAGAGAAGAGCGAGAGATGGAGAAGATTGAGAGGGTGGAGGGAGAGGAAGATAGGGGTGGAGGTAGTAGGGGAAGAGAGAGAGAGAGGAGAGACGAGACGAGAAGGAGAGGCGAGGAGTAGAGCCGAGAGAGAGAAAGAAAAGAGGAGAGATGAGAAGAGAGAGGAGAAAGAAGGAAGAGAGAGAGAGGGAGATGAGGGAATGAGACAGAGATGGAGAGGAGAGAGAGGGAGAGAGATGATAGAGGGAGAGGAGAGAGGGAGAAGAGTACAAGAGAGAGGGAGAGAGAGAGAGCAGATGACCGAAGAAGGATGATGAGTGACAGAGAGAGAAGAGAGCGGGGGAGGCGAGAGGAGCGAGGGTGAGGTGACGGTGAGAGTGAGGGAGGGAAGGAGATGAGGAGAGAGGAGAGAGGGAGAGAGGGCAAGAGAGGGGAGAGTGATGAGAGGAGAGAGAGAGAGCAGAGAGAGCAGAGAGAGAGAGGAGACGAGAGAGAGAAGAGAGAAGGAAGAGAGAGAGAAGGAGAAGAGAGGGAGTGAGAAAGAGAGATTAGAGAGAGAGAAAGAGAGAGAGATGAGTTGGACATATCTGGACACGTCATTTATATCATCTTGTGGACACATTAGAAGAGATACTTCTAGTTGGTTATCAGGTGGGCACACCACTTGGGTCGTCCGATGGCTACTATTCGATTCAGTAATACTATGAGTAAGTGAGTGAAGAGGAGAGGCGCTTGTTTATCTGAATCCTTAATGAAGATACTGTGGTGCACGCGATATTCTATTGACGCGATACTGTTCAATGTGCCATATTCTCTTCGCACGTAATAGGAATGTACTTTGATTGAGATGACACGAAGCGTGCGACATTGGGCGTGCTAGTCTTCTAGAGCTAATTCCAGTGGATTACCTGCTTGTCTCTAATTATGATAGACGCTTTGTCCGTATTCGGCTCCTCGTGGAGCCAATCCCATAGCTAAGCCTGTCCTGGCCATTTCTGGAGTGGTCTCGCGGATGGGTTGAACTTTCTAGTTCTTCCTATCAGTGTAAATTGCCGGTCCAAACAATCTTTAATCTGCTTTTAACACGGAAGTCGACGAACAACAAGTGTTTGAGAGAGAGAGGAGAGAGAGAGAGAGAGACGAGAGAGCAGAGATGAGAGAGAGAGAGAGAGATGAGAAGTCGAAGAAAGGGCTTCCTGGGACAAATGGAGGAAGAGAACAAAACAAAACAAAAAGTGAATAAAAGATAAAAGTCGGTAAAAAAAAAAAAAAAAAAAAAAAAAAAAAAATATATATATATATATATATATATATATATATATATATATATATATATACTATATATATATATATTATATAAGTACATGGATAGAAAGAGATAGAAATGGAATATCAATCGATTTTTAAATAGATAGATACAGGTATACCCAAACCAATTAATAAATGAATGGAAATAAAAACCCAAATACCTTATACAAATAAATATAAACATAGACAACTGAATAAGCGACGAATAACAATAATGAAAAAGAAAGCAAAGAAAAGAAAGAAAAAATTAACGAAAATCAGTGAAAAAAAGAAAAAAACCCGACGAAAATAACAATAATGAAAAAGAAAGCAAAGAAAGAAAAAAAAAGAGTATCGAAAAACTAAGAAAATAAATAGAAATAAAATAAAAAACAGTAAAAAAAAAAAAAAATAAATAAATAAATAAAAATAAAAATAAATAATAACAAAATAAAAAATCTCCCATCCATCCCTTCCTTTTCAAACCAACGCATACAATCAATCCACAAAAAAAAAAAAAAAAAACGAAAGAAAAGAGAGACAGAGAGAGAGAGAGAAGGAAAAAAAAAAACACGAAAAACGAAAAAAAAAGAAATAGAAAAAAGGCATCCATAAAAAAAAAAACGAAAGAAAAAG